AGCATTGCATGAGGAGGTGATGCCAGGACGTGACCATCCTTTGCAACCACAAGGATGGAAGCCAATAGAAGAACAGCGTGAGAAGAACGGAAACATCCTTGATGATGCTGTTGAGCTACCAAACTAACCTTGGGGCCTGTAAGTCCCAGATGTCCTTGTCCAGAAATTGCAAATGTCTCTGTGGTTTGAACCTTGTTAGGTATTTGGTTACTTGCAGCCAAAACACCTCCTGATACAAACACTGATTTGGCTCCATCCTAGCTTCTCATTCTCATCACTTTTTGTACCCTACCCCCTCCTTTGCTTTAACCAAGTCGTCAACATATCACTATTTTTCTGGATCTTTTCCTCTGCTCTCACTTTTTCCCTCACACTGGAGCTGGAGCCTTCCACGCCTCCCCAGTCTCCCCGCCTTTTCTCTGGTTAGTGTAACCCGAGTAGCTGCAGCTGGATTCCCTGGTTCCCACACCGGGGAGTTGAATCCAGGCCATTTGGATGAACACCAGGAATCCTAGCTGCTAGGCCACCACAGGAACAGGGTAGCTGCAGCTAGAACTTAGGCTTGGCCTTCCTAACCCCACATAATGGCGCAAGGGGCCCCGAAGGCGCAGTGAGTTTTACCGCTCAAATAGAAGTCGTGGAACCAGAGTGTGCCAAACTGCAGTTTATTGGGCAGAGTGAAGCTCCCACACTTTCGTAGGAGAGGATCCGGAGAGGATTCCATTCCAGGCTGGGGCTGCTAGAGTTTTTACCCCTGAGTTATTTTCTCCCCATTCATCTTCTCCTCCAATGAGAGGGGTTCTTTCAAACTTCCTCTGGATTGAGTGATATTTGACTCCATGACCAGATTGGCTACTGATTTATAACCCTGAGTCACAGAGCTCCCACCTCCAAGTGCCAAAGTTGGGGGGAGACAAATCCTCTACCTGGCCTGTCAGAGGCAGGAAAGCTGAAACAAGACACCTAGCAGGCCAGAGGCAGGAAGGCAAAACAAAGGGACCCAGCCAGCAGGTCGGGAAAGCTAAAACAAAGGGCCAGAGGCAGGAAAACCGAGAATTCCAGCACTGGAAACAATGCCCCCAGCCGACCTGGGGAAGCCCCTTTAACAGTCCCTCAGTAGGAGGATTCCAACCAAATAAGGTTTGCCCAGGTTCCTCTGACTACACCTACCCTCTCAGCCCCTCAGCACCCTCACAGGTGCTCACGCACACATACACAATCTTCACCTATGGAAGAAGCACTCATGTGACTCTGTGCTGCTGAATACAATAAAGTTTACTGAGTGCCTATTTTCTGCCGGGCACCATGCCTACTACTTTTGAAACCCATGAAAAGCTTATGAACTAATTACTATCATTGCCTTCATTTCACCAAGGAGAAAATGAGTTTCTCAAGGCCACACAGACATCTAATAAGTATCAGAGCTCTAAAAATTCCAACCCAGGCCTAATTGTAGGCCAGAACTGGTATAAAGTACCTTATACAGATGAATACGTGTGGCACCACAGTGATTTCTTTTCACTGCCGCTGCATATTGTAAGAGACTAGATTTTGTCTTGAATTTCATTGTACTCCTTTCTCTGCCACAGGCCTAGCAGCAATAGCTACACAATAAATGCACCCAGCTGATCAGGTGGTCAGCCCTCTCCCCAAGCACTCTCATGTGCTCCAGCTGTGGTCTTCCCCTCTCTATAAACACACCTATCTTTATTAGCCTTTGACTAGCCCTGTCAGAACCATATGAGTTCACTTTTACTAAGCTGTTAATAGCTGACAATAGTTTAAAAAAATTTTTTTTTGGAGAAGGTGCTTTTGAATTCAAACGAATGACTCAGCTTAAAACTTCTGGAAGGTAAAAGGTGGTGAATATATATTCAAAGGGCATTTTGTGAGCAAATTCTAGCAAGCTGACGGTGATAATGGGTGTGGGTTTTATGGTAAGGTGGGGTGGGGTGAAAGAAGGAATCTTTTCAATGTGAAAGCATTCCATTCTCTTCAAGGCACAGGCAGCTTTTTTCATTGATTCTTCACCAGGCGTCTTCAGATACTCCACCGCCACTAATCTCCTTTTCCTGGGTGAAGTCTAATACACTAAAATAACAACGAAAACCACGGCTTCCTTCTTAAAACCTTTTAGTTGTGAATGTCGTATTACATACTTAAAAAATTCCCACATTTGTGTGTAAATTCATATCCATTAAACTATAAATGAAAATTAAATTCATCATGCATAATCCTGTGTAACAGCCATGATAAGCAGTAAAATATTTGCTTGTGGCTAGAAAATCTGTAGAAATAAAAATATAGAACTGAATTTTAAGTTTGCTGTAGGGATAGATTAGACCAGGTTTCTCAAACTTGATCCATAAGAATTTTGGTGGATGCTTATTAAAATGTAGGCTCCACTCCAGACCTTTAGGAACCAGGAAATTCTTAGGAGGAAGAGCAGGAAACATTGAACTGGGGTAAGTGTTTCAGCTGTTCTTCAATATGGGTTTGCCATTTGGAATCTGGGGGTACCCCACACCATAAGGCTATGCCAAAAAACATTTTCCTTCTCCTTCCCTCAGTCCCCTTCTTCCAAGAAACACTATGCCAGGCAGTGTTTCATCCGAAGAATGCAAAGATAAGCAACAATGCTCACTGCAGTGACAGGTAGACAATAAACAATTATATGCAGTGGATTCAGTGTCGAAACAGAGGTAGTACAGGATACTGCATGCTTAGAGAGGAGGAAATGACTCATTCTCGTATTGAAGACAAAGCTGACATCTGCACGTAGAAGATGCATGAATACAGACCCAGAGGGATGAGGAAGCCTGGTGTCTTCCGAACATTTAAAAAAGTCCACTATGGCTGAAGCTCAGGGTCAAGTTTGGGGTAGGTGAGACTGGCAGGAATCAGATCGTGAATACACTTACATGCCACCTTGTAAGACTCAGGACAGTCCGGGGTTGTTGAGAAGAAACCCCGGTGTTTCCAGCAATGGGTATAAAAATATTTGAAAATATAACATGACAAGAATGCCTTACGACTGAAGTTTAAGACAACTTTGTGCTGAGCTAATATTCTGTAATAGTCAATTAAAACTTTGATAATGTAGCGGAGACTCTTTTCAGCTGATATACAGCAAAATACATAAAAGAACTGCTTTGGTTGATACAGAAAGCTCAGTCCCATGGCAGTACTCCTGGAAATAAAAGCTTAAACAGTTTGCAAATTAAAGTTCTGTGCTTTCAGAAGACTGAATAATTGCATGGATATTTAGAATCTTGCTATTGAAGGGAAATTTAAATATCATCTAGTTCAATGTCTATCTTGGAAGAAAGTTTCTTCAACTACATCCAGTATAACTTCTTCCAGGCAGCATCACTCAGGTGTCTATGGCACTGAATAAAGTCTGCCCAGGTTTTAACACTTGCGGTAAAGGAGAGGCACTTGAACTTTCCAGCAGCTTACTCTCTGGTTAAGCAGAGTCATTCCTTAGCAACATCTATTCTATGGTAATTAGGCATCTTTCTGATTTAAAGAATGTCTTTTGGGATAACCAACTCGGTATTACATCTATTATGACGTCTGCTGCTCACCTTTTAAGTTTCTTCAGTCCTTCCTTAAAACAGATTCTCTGTCTCCTGCGGGGTCTCCATTTTCCCACATGCATTTCAGTTTGTCAGTGTTGCCTCTTAAAATTTCCATCACCAGATACAGGTAAAACAATACTTTCACTACCCACTGCTTCTCATTTCTATGTATGCATTTAAAAAAAAATTTTTTTTCGTGAAAGGGCCTAGCTAGGGTCTTTTCTGGCTAATACACAAAGAAGGAATATCCATGAAACAAAAAGTAAAGAGCAGCTCAGTGTTAAGCCTGACAATGACTCACTGTACAATGGAATGCTGACATTTAACATTATAATAAAACCTGGTATGTTGTTAAGATTGCCAGGCATTTTGTGTGTGTGTATGTGGAAAAAATAAGAACCTAGAACAGTGAGAGGAAGAGGGCAGAGGCCTGGAGTTTGAGAAATGAATAAAGTGGAAAGGCACGTAAGAAGGGCAAAGGACATCTCCAGTTGTGGAGATCAATTGAAGGGGCTTTCAGTTGATCAACTTTTTGTTGAACTCAAGGGGCTTTCAGTTTAAGAAACTGGTGGGGCAAACTGAAAGTTCCCCTTTTCTTAATGGAGTGTGACAAGAGGGGTCCAGTGAGTGAAAGACATGACGTAGTCAAGTAAAAGTGTGAGACATTTAAGTAAGACCATTCCCATGGTGCCTCCTATGGGGCTGACTTCATGTTGGGGGCCCTGGTTTCTGGACAGCAACATGGATGTGTATTAAAATTTATTTCACATGGATGTGGTGACGGTGAGAGGGAAGGAAGTGTTTCAGGCCATTCTGAGGGTTTCAGCATCACCATGACACCATGTTCTAGGCTAATGCCATGAGATACTTCCAGCTTTGACATCATCCCAAATCCCACACTGTAGATGAGCAGAGATGTTTCTTGTCCTCTCCAGTTTGTTCTCATCATTGCACAAGTTTGGTCTCTTAAGATTTTTCTTTCTTTTCTTCAAATACCATTTAAGGAGCATAGAAGTAGGGGACATTTTAGAAAGAAACACAGCTGACGCAGGGTCAGTCAAATCTAGCTCTTCCTTCTTGAAAGCATAGACGAAAATTCAGCACTGAGTTTGAATCCCATGAGAGTGAAGTCACCCTGGGACTGGGTGCAGGAGGACGGGGGACAGGAGGTGGTTTCTGTGTGTATGTCTGTGTGTAACCAGATGTACACTGGTACGAGCAACTCAAGAATTCTACAGTTTCTCCAAAAGTGAAGGAGAGAAACCTAATAATTGATGGTCTGAAAGTGTTGCCAGTTTTGGTGAAATAACTAGTTCTGTATTAACTTTTTTGAGAGACCAAACTATTATGCAAAAATATACAGTATTTACTTTCCTAACCACTGATCAGAAAGACCAAAGCAATACTCACATCAACTGCTTATTTTAATGTCAAATGTTTATTTCTATGCCATAGTTGCCTCAGCACAATTTGTAAAAGAAAGGAATCCAAAAAAATGAATTTTAGTCAGGATATTTTCTGTGCAGTTATAAGAAAGAAAATAAACACAATGATACCAGAATCACCATTTCTTTCACATCATTCTAGTAAGTTGCATCTAAATATTTTCCTTGGTTGCCACTTTTTTTTAGGACGGAGAAATATCCACAGGAAAAAACTGTCTGGATTAATTAAAATAAACTTGGGATAGTCTTTGCCAGACTATATCTAGAACATCTTTGTTTTGGGATGCTATACCACTAATTGCCATATCTTTATTGTTTAATATAACAGGCATACTTCATTTTACAAAACAAAGTGCACTGAAGATGAACAATGTTAGAAACAAACTGAAATTGGATGTGTCTTAAATCTTTGGGTGATTAGATAGTAGCTGAAGCGTGGGAATACAAATTTTCTTAATAATACAAATGCAACTCTCTTCTGTAATGAAAATGCACTTAGTAGCCTAGTACTTTTTGTTTTAGCAGATAGGGCATCCAATACAACTGAAACAACCTGATAACAAATTAATTTTAGTTTTCAATAAAAAGGAATGCTCTGGTTTCTTAACTGGCTCTTCAAGGAAGCCAGAAGATGGCATCTGCTCTTTAAATAGACTTCTCTTATCTGATTTGAGACACAAATCCACCAAGATTCTTACAGTGGAAGTAGGCACCACCCCTCAGATCACGAGGCCCCTAGGAAGAAGCCTGTTGGAGTCAAACTGTGATGCGTGGTGGTGGGCCAGCACCTAGAAGACACATGGTGGTTGTGCACATAAATCCCTTCAGCGGACTCAGTGGAAGGATGAGAATTCTGTAAGTTCATGCACATTTTATTGAGTAGTAATATAAAATGCTTTTTCTTTTTCATTGTTACAAGTGCATGCTTTGATTGCCAACATGTCAGAAGTCAAATTACAAAGGCAAGGCTTTAGGCTGTAGTGAATTACTTGGGCACTTATACAATTGTTAAAAAATATGAATGGACTTTTGTTGTTGTTTTCAGAATGAACCAGTTGTAACCCGTAACTGATATACAAAGGGAAAAAAGTGAAAAAAGTACATATTTTGTGGCACATGACAGAACAGAACAAAATAACTAAACTGTTATGACGTTAACAGTTACCATGCATTTAGAGTTTCACATGTAACTACAAACTTATTATAATTTCACAAGGTTTGCTAAACATGCTAACCATCTACATGTGCACTGACAAGCTTATGTTAAAAACTTTAAAGAATACTCTCCCCTTTAGATTTTTTCAAAGCTTTTTTTGATTACAAAATTTCAAAGGCATTAAGCATTTTAGAGAATATAAAGTACGCCAGTATACATACATTTCCAGTATATGTCAGACCACTAAGCGCATTACAGTCCCATACAGGCCGATACAGCCGTTTTTTTTTTCTTAAAAAACATGCATAGGCAGATTTTTTTTTTACAGAATATAGATGCTTTATCACTGTACTTAATATGGTGTCTTGTTCACTATACTTAAAAATGCACCACTCATAAATATTTAATTCAGCAAGCCACAACCAAGACTTGATTTTATCAACAAAAACCCCTAAATATAAACAGCAAAAAAAGATAGATGTAATTATTCCAGTTTTTTTTTTAAACTTAAAGAAAAGATACTCATTGCCAAATTAATAAGATAAGTGTTATATGGAAAGAAGGGCATTCAAGCACACTAAAGAAACCTGAGGTAAGCATAATCTGTACAAAATTAAACTGTCTTTTTGGCATTTTAACAAATTTGCAACGTTCTTTTTTTTTCTTTTTCTGTTTTTTTTTTTTTTTTTTTTTTTTTTAAGACTGCCTAATTCAGTTTATAGCCATTGTCTGACAAGAGTAGCAAAACATTATCAATAAATAGTCCTTAGTTTGTACATCATTTTGTTAAAAATGTTTGATGTCATCCATTTTTAGTGCTGCGACTGTAAACGTACAATAGAGTAAGAAATTAGACAAAGTTTTCATGTCCAGTAACAGAATAAAAGGCCTTTCATTAACCTATCTAGAAGTCCCCAATGCAGTAGGAAAACATGTTCATTCCCCTAACATTGCAGTATATACTAGCATTAGCTTTCTTTTTAAATTTTTTTTTCTCTATAAGCATTTTTAAAAGGCATACCCAAAAGAGGTGTTTAATCACCACCCCCACCAAAATATAGTTTACTATCTCTTTCCCTCTTTTTTAATGATAGTGTAAACTGAATCCAATTCCTGGCCCCCAGAGCAAATAAGCTACTGTCAGAGGCAAGAACATCCAACTGCTGATATGCAGCAATCCCCATCATGCCCTGCAGCTCAAAAAAAAAAAAAAAAAAAGTGAACAGGAAGTGGTCACTGAATATTGCTGCTATTGCTGCCATTGCTGTCCGTGCCGTTAGTCTCTGAGGTGAGAGCCTTGTTGATGGAGTTAAGGTTGGCGTCAGAGGGCATGGCATCTCTGCGAGGCGGCATCCTCTCGTTAATTCGGTCTAAGCCCTTGGCTTCCTCGAAGCTAGTGATCTTATGTTGTGGTGAAAATCCTTTGATAGCTAAACAGAAAACCATTAAAAAAGAAAAACAGAATTATCCAAAGGAAAACAAAAGGTACAGCTGTTGCAGCAGGTGATGTTAGAGATTTCGCAGTGAGAGGGAATCCTTCAGTGAAGAACAAAGTGACGGGACCTGCACACCACACAACAGACTCCTTACCATACTCGGAGGTAACCAAAGGTTTGAAAACAGCCAATGTCTCTTGCCAACCAAAATGTCCTCTTGAAGTTATTAAGATGTAAGCATTTCTCCTGTCTTCATGAGCGTTTAGATTAAAGAAATCCAAAGTGGACACATAAAGAGGAAAGCTGCTTTCAGGGACTAGCCTCTAGAACCAGTATCAACTGGCTACAGTATTAGCATGATTAACTGCATCAAACACCTTGGCCTAGTAGGCTGCAGCATGTCCCTCTTTGTATTCTTCCACTGTGCTGGTAATGGCAAATTCAGTGGAATCACTATGCCTGCTATACCTAAAAACCTAGTAAAGGGCTTAAAGCAGAAGCTAGAAGGAGCTAGAAAAGAAATTAACCAGAGCATTTCCATGCCATCTCAAAATCCCAGAAAGAACTTCTTGGCAAGCAACTCAATGATGGCATGAAAAAAATTGAAATTATAAACTCCTGTTTCTCCACTCAACTTTGGAAGCATGTGGAGTGAGTGAAAAGGTAAGAGAAACTCAAAAAAGTCAAGATAAAATCACTAAGTAGAAACGCATTGTCTGCCCTTCAGCAGTGAACAGGTCAAACTGATGTTCATCTGGTATCCATTACTGCCTAAATAAAAGAAAAACTCAGTAGATCAATGTGGATGTAAGTGATGGCTAAATAACAACAAGGAAAAAAATGCCTTTCACAATATTTAGCAAAAATGAATTGAGCTGGTTTTGGTCCTATTCAATTAAGACATGGAATTCTCAAAGTGGGAGTGATATTTAATTTTTATTTGTTTGTTTGTTTAACGTAATCTTTAGTGTGCTACAGAGAAAGGTAAGGCATTTGTACAAAAAACTTAATGATTTCTTCAGTGAGTATACCAACTGGTGAGCTGCAAATAAAACACATAAATGGGGAACCAATGACATCAGTTTGCTTTACTCCCTGTGAAGTGCAAACCAGGTATTTCAGGGCCAATCACCAATGCTCACTGGGCTGCATCACCATGGCTGATTGAGGAGAATTTCATGGTACCTTTATCCTCCCAACCTTATTTGGGGCAGGGGAGGGGGAAGGAAAGCAGTTTCAAGCTGAAACTTTACCAGCCATTCCTACACAAATGTGCAGTGCCTTTCATTAGTATGGATTAGATTCCTAAAAGACATACACGCGTTTCAATACTCATTGAACGATGAGAAATACTTTCTCCCCCTCTGCATTTTAAAGGTTAGCATAATGGTGATTAGTCAACTGTGAGAGGAATAAGATGGGGAAATGCGGAAAGACCAAGGCCCAAAGCAAAGCTTGTTAATTCTTCTCTAATTTAGTCATAAATTGCAAAATAATAGAGCTGTCTAACGAGCACCCACCCTGAAAACTAACTCAATTATTTTGAAGTACAAAAGAATGGCACGAAGTGGTACTCTACTGTTTTATTAGACTACTGTGAATATAATTTCATCACAATTAACAGGTAACAAAAGTTTATCATCATTATCATTTATGAAATGATTTAATTAATTTAAATGGTAAAAGTGGAATTTCTAGGTTTTAAAAGCCAATAGGGTGGAAGTGTTAAAATTAAAAATCTAGCTAGAACAATGCATACTTCTGGAATGGGGCTCCATTTCTAATCATTTTTGTCCATCCTGGTATGGAAGAATGTGCTCTGCTGTAGTTGCTGGTCAGACAATGGGTATTAGCAATTTACATTGGTAGTATACTTAACACAACACAGAGTCACAGAAACCACAGAAAACAGCCAAACTATCAACAAGAATGCACACTGCAGATTAGAATTTGCCAAGAGGAATAGAGAATTCCCACATAAATAGCAGTGTGTTCACTGCTATTTAGGAAGCAGTTGTATTTTCTCTTACAGTGCTATCGTTTCCCCTACCATGTCCAAATCATATACAAATTGGAGGAGTCTGAAGTGGCACTTTTTACATCATACCAAAGGACCATATGCACATAATTTTGAGAAAAACAAAAAAGTTACCTTGCAAGAACAAAATACAACTGAAGAATTTTGTTTTAAAGGGGAACTTCAAATTATTGTTTTTGAAATTTCCAAAGGATATTGCATGTATAATATTAAAACCTATTTTGATATGCAGTTCTCTTATAACTGTGTATTTAAAAAGCAGTCAGTAAAAAGCAATTACTAAAGAGTTGAATTCTACTGTCCTTGAGCAGTGCTAGGACACAGCTGGAGATGGACACTTCTCGATTTCCCCTGCAGCTCCTAGTACAGTGCCTGGCACAGAGCAGACACTCAGTACACATTCATCAATTGAGTGCTACTTGATACTCGCTATTCTTGTTATCGGCCACTTCCACAGCCGCTAGACCCTTTTGAACTCTTTATAATATTTTGCTGGTGATAATTCTCATACAAATAGCAGTAGGTTGAAATTTGATTTAAGATTACCAGAACTGTTCATCTCATATACAGCTGTCTCATGTTGGAATATTTTTTAAGAGACATAAATTAATGTTGAACTACAACAAAGCGCTATTTAAATGAACGTGTTTTTTTTTTCCTTTGGCTACGAACTTCCGAAGACTAGAATTATGGCGGCTATTTTTATTCCCTTCAGTGCTTCCTGAAAGTGATTTGAGGGAGGGACATGGTTCAGCTCAGAGATTACTGTTTTATAAGCTACTGGTCAAAACAGCTGCCATAACCCCCACCCCACATCATTCAAAATATATAATCCTTTTGTTTTCTGTGATTAGACTATTCATCATGTACAAAAGTCAAACATAGCTTTAAGGGAAAGAAACAAACAAACAAACCATAGAAGGACATTTTCCCCTTTAAAGCAAGAACATTTTGGTTAATACTGAGCCACAACTGTTAGCTCAACACCCACACACTCTGTACAAGCTACAGCAAAAAAAATGAATACACCCAGCAGAGCCCTTATCTGTTGCAGGTACAACAGAAAGGGGACTGGCCAATTTACCTTCATCAGCCTCAATAGCCTCAACAGTAGCTGAAGAGAAGAAAGGGGGTGCAAAATGAATGAGAAAAATGAGCAGAGGATTTTTTAACTCTAAGAACAAATCAGTGACCATCAAAGGAGCTAAGAGAACTAATGTTCCTGTAAGTGCTAGATTCTGGCACACACAACAAAACAGAAATGCTAAAAAGAAAGAAAAAAAAAAACACCACAGAAATTGTGTTTAATTTATGAGCGGGATATGCCTATCTGAATTAAATGCTTAGGTTTTTGCCTATTAAATAAATAACAAACAATTAACCCTTGAGGAAAATAGGAAAATTTCTTTTACATGAACTGAATTATAAGGGATTATGTAAATCTCAACTGTGCTTCTGACTCTCACAGGCTACTATAAAACCTCTGCTATGCTTGGTGATTTAGTTTAAAAATGCCAGACAAAATGGCAGTGCCACAGTATCAGTGGGATCATTCACACTAGCCAATATTAAATAGCACTATTTCCTAATGTGATGCAAAAGCAGGGGGATTTAATTTACAGGAAAAACAAAAATCACAGTGTCTAAGGAGATAATGCATGTGACTCCTTAAAGATAAACACATCAGGCATGTTTAATTTGGGGGTCGGTGGGTAGGAAGAGGGTGAAGGAAAAAGAAAAAAGGAAACAAACAATATAGTCTGGACTTCTTTTTCCAGCAAGCCCAATTATGTTTTCTTTTCCTTACTGGAATATTCTTTTTGGAAGTAAAATTCTCGAAATGTTACAAATCAAGTGGGAATGTACCAGTAGTGGCAATAATTCTATCAGCATTTTAAAGAACAGGCAGCCTAAATACTGAAAACTCATATATCTGTATGAGGTTTCATCTAAATATGCAGCAACAGCATATTTCAGAGGCAGAACTTTAAAAGCTCATTGCTTTATCAGCAATTTATGTAATAAGGTTAGGATCTAAACTTTCACTATATAAGTGTGTGAGTCTTTCTATGTTATTAAGGTTAGTTTATACTTCCCTAATTAAATCTTAAAATGCAAAACTTCTCTGTAACTCTGAAATGTTTAATATTAAAATTCTACCCCTTGACTTTAATTTGCATTTTTCTTATAATTCAAGATTTTAAAACTATAGCAACTGCAAAAATGTGCACTATAATTTACTTGCAGTGGAGTCTATATTCCTTATGATAAAAATGGAGAATGGTTACCACCATGGAGAGAAGAGCTACATAACAAAGACGTTAGTAGTTTCCCCTTTTAGACAAACTGAAGGACATCAGGCAATACACTTTGGAGTCGTATCAATGTATGTGGTTTAAAATATATAGGAATTTTTCAAACCCATATAGAAAGGTTCCATATGTCTTTTATGTGGATGTGTGTTTGTGTATAGGTTCAACATAGAAAAACACAAACCAATGGATTTAAAATAAAAGAAAGCTGAATAACCTAAGTAAAAACACAGGTAAAAATCTGGAAATGAAACAAAGAACTGGAAAAACTTAAGTAACTTAAGTGTAAAAGTAAAGCAAAACATCCAGAATCACACCAACACTGACATATTAGAACTATGTAGTGCCCACTATTAAATGTTCTAAAGCAAATGTAGTCCACAGTTTCTGACAATATACCTGCTATATCTTAAATTGTACTTATCAGAAACTAGATTTCAGTCAGTTAGGTAGAGAGTACATTTTGGACATATAAATAATCCATTTATGCTAATGTTTTAGTGAGATATTTAATTTGGTAGAAAAACTTTTTTTTTTTTTTTTTTACAAGTTGTTAAAAAAGTTCCTAGCTGTAAATTTAAAGTGGGCGGTTGCAGGGGGTGGTTTACTTCTCAATACTATGTGTCTTCTTAGTTTCATTTAAAAATATTTTTGTAAAAACTCAAAAGACACTGATTTGGAATCATTCATCTGAAAAGAAAGAAAATAATCGTGATGCAGCCATGATGTGATCATTCAGAAATACTATATTCATGAAGTTGATTATTACTCTTCATGTAGAAGTGTATCTAAATTACATAAATAGGAATAGTGAGTCTTCTAGGTTGATGGGTAGGGGTAGAAAATATAAACAAGATTCAAGGAAAGATACAAGAAAATAAGCAAGAGGCTGAGAATGTTTTGAAAAATTTCATAGCATATTTTCATTTTAATTTTTTTAAAGCCTCATCTAATAGCAATTTTCTATTGTTTAAATTGTACTCTAAATGTTAGTATCTATTAAAATTGATAACAAAAGTAACAAAAGTGAAAGAATATATAGAGCTGTGCTGCTAACACGGTAGACACTAGCTCCCTGGCTTATTTAAATTAAAGTTAATACAAATTAGGTAAAATAAAACATTTAGTTTCTTGGTTATATTTGCTATATGTTCAACAGTCATATGTAGCTTCTGTATAGATACAGAACTTTCCATCATCACAAAAAGTTCTGTTGGATGGTACTGGTCTAGAAAGCTACACATTTTGACACAAAATCTGCATTGTAAAGGAAATGTTACTCTTTTTTTCAAAAATAAAATGTCATTCTACTCAGTCTCTTATGTTTTCAACTGATAAATCAGAGAAAACACATGTATGGCTCCCAATTTCCATTCAAGAGGATAATGAAATCATCTCCCTGAAATCTAGACTTACAGGTGTATTTTAGTGTTTGTGTGTATATGTGTTAATCTCATACATGAAACAGCTAACTGGAACACTTATTAAAAATGTAATTAAAAAGTTGTTTTTGACAACTGACTGGCTCAAAGTCATCAAACCTATTGTGCATGTAGGCAACCTAAATGAGCTGTCCTATAGTTAGGCCTGAATACGTAGATTAACATGTGAATGAAGGAATGGGGAAAAGGTGGAGTAAAGACCACATTCCAGAGAATGAGGGAGCTATTATGTTGGACACAACTGATCAAACTGATTGGGGTTTCAGCCCTTCTGCAGCTGAGAAGAACTGAAGACCAAGACAGAGCTTAAATGAATGAATAAATCAGGGCTCTAATGACACAGCTGACTGCGATGCCCCAGCACACAGTCATACCCATCGGCCTGCTTACCGCTTTGCAAGGTTTGCTTCCCTCCAGAAAGTACTCCACTGGGGAGCATGCCAGTCGGGGTCAAGCCTTTCAGCGTCAGCACACTCTCACTCTCTTCTCTGGAAGGCACAATGAGAAGTGGCATTAACCTTTAATTTCTTTTGTGAAAAAGAAATGACTCAAAGGAAAAAAATGCATGTAAGAACCCATATCTCCCTCTATCCTGGTTCTCTGAATCCTTTTAACATACTTTATTTTAATTTATTTCTATACTAGTAATGTTCCATAAACAATTGCTACAATAAAGTTTACATTGTCCAATTAGGGAGGTTCAGTTTCTGAGTGCTGAAGGTAGAGAAAACCATTTTGATTTTGTAATCAGGCATCACAATACAAAGTTTTGTTGTGCATTCTGTATGTTAAAAGTGAGCCATGGAGAGTACTGATGTAAGTTTTTCAGCCAAGGCTCAGCCAAAATAAGTGGAAGTGATTTGATCTGACAGAAACAAACAAAAAAACCAAACAAGAGCATACGGGAGATTGGAAAAAAAAAATCTGATCTGTAGATTTGGGAATCCCGAATTATATTCGGGGACTTTTAGAAATTAAGGAATTCAGTAATTTAGACGTTACATGAAAAACACATAAAATAATGGCAAGTAGCCAATAAACCTACTGGTAAAATTTCCCAGCTTTTTTTTTCTGTCACTTTCCCTACTGATTTGCTAATATAAAATCATTTTCTTACTCAGCATGACAATTGTTATACAATCAGTTTTAAGTACATCATTATTTCAATTATATGTATTAATTACTTGACACTATTAATCATTATTAATCATTTTGAATTGTTAAATCCTCATAATTAACCATGAAATAATAGTAAACGCATAGTGATACTGAAATCCTACATAACCAGAAAAAAATCTTTAAAATACAAATTGTATATTATATACACATATACACACACATACATATACTTGTGTGTATATATACATACACACACACACATATATATCTATATATATATACAGGGAGAGAGTTTAGGATATAGAATTATCTACTCCAAAGTTTTACTAAGGTGTCTCGCATGACTCAAACAGAATTCCTGAACTTCTCCCCAAAACTGCTGCTTCCACAATCTGTGTCAACTCAGAAATTAGTAATTCCATCTTTTAGTTACTTAAGAGTAAAGGATCACCCTTTAACTCTTTTCATCCTAATTCCATCAGTAAATATTAAGGGCTCTACCCTCAAAATATTTCTAGTATCTTACCAATTTTCACAAAGCTACTACCTCATCTCTTTCGACAACAGCTTTGTTGAGATGTAAACTCGGCATACAAGTAACCTAAAGTATAGGATTCAATCGATGGTCTTTAATATATTCATAGAATTGTACAACCATCACCATAATCAATTTTAGAACATTCTCATTATCCCTCAAAGAAACTTCACACCCGTTAAGCAGTCACTCCCAACTTTCTTCAGCCCTGTATAACTTCTGTTCACCTTCTGTAGATTTGTTTCATTTGGACACTTCATATAGATAAAATCATATAAAATACAGTCTTCTGTGACTACCCTCTTTTGCTCACCACCAGTATCGCCTACCTGGACTGCAGCAGCCTTCCGAATGGTCTCTCTGCTCCATCGGAGTCACACTCTTGCCCCCTCCTCCCACAGCTGTTCTCAGTATGGTAGCCAGGGTCAGCCTTTTCATATCTATGCCAAATCCTGTCACTTGTGTATTCAAACTCTCTAATGGCTTCTCCTCTCCTGACAGGTGAAAGGCAGGTTCCACGAAGGCCTTAAAGAAACTAGTTACCTCACATTCTTCTGTTCTTACCCATTTCTTGGTTCACATTTCCTACCAAAGTCCACTTTCCTTACATGTCCTCACATGTCCTCACACACACCCAGCACACTCCACTGAGGGGCGCTGCACTTTCTTTGCATCCTCCTCCCCTGGCATCTGTGTGGCTCACTCCCACTCTGCCTTCTTAATCATCGCTCCAATATTGCCTCCTAAGCAAGGACTTCCTTGGAATACCATTTAAAATAATACTCCTGAATAACCACCTGTAATCCCAGCCCTTTGGGAGGCTGAGGTAGGTAGATCACGAGGTCAGAAATTCAAGACCAGCCTGGCTAAGACGGTGAAACCCTGTCTCTCCTAAAAATACAAAAATTAGTCAGACATAGTGGCAGAAGCCTGTAATCCCAGCTACTTGGGAGGCTGAGGCAGGAGAATCACTTGAACCAGGGCGGAAGAGGTTGCAGTGAGCCAAGATTGAGCTACTGCAGTCCAGCATGGGCAACAGAGTGAGACTCTGTCTCAAAAAAAAAAAAAAAAAAAAAAATTCCCTTTCGCAACTCTTTCTCTCTTTGCCGATTTTATTTTTATCTAAGGCACTTATCACCCTGAAAAACGATACAGTGTGTTTACTTGCTTATTTTTGGTCTGCTGTCTACTCTATTCCCCTCCCACCCCCTGCTTACCCCAGCTAGACAAGCCTCATGAAAGCGGGGGTTCCTGTCTGCTTTAGTCACTGCTGCACCCACAGCACCCAGACTAGAACAGTGCCTGGTTCACAGCCCACATTTCAAAAATATTTGTAAAAAAACCAGTAAAAGCTGAATGGAGAATGGAAATCGAACCCATATTTTAGATTTCTGTATCCTTTACTGCAAAGTTTACTTAAAAATAATAGGTTTGAGAGAATTAATTATTGCTTATTTTCATACAGGTATTTCAAACTTTTTCAGTTTTTGTGGTCTGTCAAACCGCCAGAGGTCCCATAAAGAAATATACTGAATACTGTAATATGATTTGGGAAAATTGGGAGTATCTCTAAAGAATGAACACAATTTTTCTTTACATTCATATTCAAAATATGGCTTTTGCCTCATGAGTGATTATAATTCCTGCATGCAGAATCTTGTGTCAAATTCTGTATTAAAAACGGGACTCAGGCTGGGTTCAGTGGCTCACGCCTGTAATTCCAGCACTTTGGGAGGCTGAGCTGGGCAGATCACTTGAGGCCAGGAGTTTGAGACCAGCATGGCCAACGTGGTGAAACCCTGTCTCCATTAAAAAATACACAAATTTTAGCTGGGTGTGATGGCCTGTGCCTGTAATCACAGCTATTTGGGAGGCTAAGGCATGAGAACCGCTTTAACCTTGGAGACGGGGGTTGCAGTAAGCTGAGGCTGTGCCACTGCACTCCCGCTGGGGCAACAGAGTGAAGCTGTCTCAAAAACACCCAAAAAACACAACAAACAAAACCCACCAAAAACACATGGGACTCAACGAATAAACAGTTACAACCCATAAGGCTCTGAGAAAGCCAAGTAAATTATTAGTTTTTTAGCTACAAAAATTTTCTGGTAATCTGGAGTATTCTTTTTAATCTTCAAAATTTTAATTTTATACAAACAGTAGAAAGATCTTTTTGGGAAATCACATCTTTGTGGGGGCCACACTCACTCAGACTAACATCCCAGTCATAAGACTGAGGCTGGGACATCATTTAACTTTCTTGGGCTTTAGCTTCCTTATTAATGAAATCTCATCTGTAATTATAGGATTTCTATGAGGATTAAATGTTACACTGTATACAAAAACCTCAGCATAGAAGGCGGTCATTTTCCTTCCTTCCTTGCTCTGTTTTTCTTTCTCGTTCAACCACATTCCTTACTTCCCTTAATTGTGACTGCCATTCCTGCCTCACAGGAGCCCATGTCCTCAAAGGTTTCTAGCAGCTTCTTCATTTTTCAATTCCAACAATCTCTGTTGAGTTCTCATTCAAACTCATATCTCTGCAGTAATTTTTTCTGATGACCATGCTTTCTTTCCTGAAAGACTCTTTGCCCTAAGTGTTGTAATGCATTTTTTTCTGGTTCTCTTTCTCCTTCTCTGACATCTTCTCAGTTCCTAGGCTGATCTTCTTCCTCTATCTCCAGACCTATGCTTTCTAATATGTAGGCCCCAGCTGCATGTGACTGTTAACCACTTGAGACATGACTAGTCAAGATGTTCTGTAAGTGTAAAATACACACGGGATTTCAAAGACTTTGTACAAAAGAATAGAAAATGTCCCTTTAATAAGTGTTATTGATCAAATGTCAAAATGATAAAATTTTGTATATTTGTGTGAAATAGGCTACATTATAAAATTAATAATCATTTATTTTGTTTCTGTTTCTACCCCTTTTACTGTGGTTTCTAGAAAATTTAAAATGACAGATGTGGCTCACATTACATTTCTGTTGGAAAGCAATGTTGTGAAGAGTTCTCGTGCCTCTTTCTCTCACCTATCACTCTTTCCTTTAGCAAGACCATCAGCTAATGCTGCTGCACTCTTGTCTCTGTGTTATTTTTACATGGGTATTACTAACCCTCACCTCTTTCTGAACCTCCAGGGCAGCATTTCTAAGTGCCTCTACATAAATGCTCTGCCAAATTCAGCTCATCCTACTCTTCCTAACAAACATCTGTTAGATATTTAAATTGAAGAATACTTCCTCCTCCTTGGATAATAGCATCCTATCAATGGTATAGACTAGGACCTCTGTAGAATATTCTGGAATATTTCCTCTCTCCTATAACCTCTCACATAGGTAAGGGTGCGCAGAGCCAACAATGGAAATCTATTCTGGCTAATTTTAACAGGAAAGAGATATATTAAAGGTGTTAGAGAGCTCACAGATCCAGAGAACTGGGCTTCGATGCTCTGTGGCTGGGAAGGGTAACAGTACCTGTCCACACTGCAGGGTTGGCTCCATTAAGGGCTTGGCAACAGCCAATGCCAGAGCTCATAGTACTGCTGTCTAGTTAGCTCCCAAAATGTTGAGGTGGATGCTCTTCCATTGTTGGGCCCTGAGATTCCACACCTGGCAGGACAATTGCTGTCCTGCCTTGCTGCTTCCTCATGACGCTCAATTTGAAACAAAGCCTCATTTACATGCATTTACCTGACTGGTGAATCCGAGGCAACAGGCTCGTATTTTATATGCAAGGACTGCTGACAGACAGTTTGCTGGTTCCCTTATAATGTTGTAAATTTCCAAATTGTAAAGAACATGTTGGGCAAGTATATCTGACAAATTTGTGCCACAATCCGTATTACTGAATCACAATCTATCTTCCCACATTTCTTGTATTTGTTCTTTCCTTTGCATTTCTCCTGCCATAGCCTGGTTCAGCCTTTTGCTTGGATGATTACTTCAAAAGCATCCTAATTTTTTTTTAACTTAAATTTTGTGTTATATGTCACCATGCTAGCCAATCTTCATGTTGCTATTAACATATATAGTGAAACATGAGTTAGAGATGCCTCAAATCTCATGAAAGTTAATTCTATGACTCCTGATTGCCTACACACAGAAAAACTGAATACTTTAACATGCTATTCAAAGCACTCAAGGATATGGACTTCAATATATTTTCGGCCTCCTTTTTAACTAGATTCCTTGTTGACCTTCATGTCTTTTACCAGTCAGTCAATTTATACATCTAGAATTCATTACTAATATTGCTTAGAATTTATACTAGACTACATAGCATACCTTTGAGTAAGATTCTCATCAGTGGTGCTCCCAAAATTAGTGAGTTTGGACACTCTCCTTAGCCTCTCTCAGATTCAGTTTCCTCACAGTAAAGTCACCACGACCTTGCAAGTTTCCTGTGTTGATTATTGTCAGATGTGCATAACATGGGGCATGGACCTGGCACTTAGCAAGTGCCCCATAAAAGGAGGCCATTGATATTGCTCTTAGAATTTCTATGGCTGTGCTCCTGATAATTTTTCCACTTCCAGGAATGCCTTCACCATAATTCTCCCTGTCCTGGAATCCAGCCTATCCTTCATAGCACTCCTCCAGTGTTAACCTCTTTATGAACGTTCCAGTCAGGAAACACAGGATTCCTTCCTGTCTAATGCCACAGCAGGGTATCTATTCACGTAGTTAGCACACACTTTATTTTCTTACTCTATTATCTCTCTGGTTGGCATTCCAGTTTGGTATGTAGATTGTCTAATTCAGTGCTTGGTATACATTTAATGCTTAACCATTATCTACTAAGCTTAACTTACTTTTTTTCTGGATAGGATCTCTCTATATTCTACATATGTGCTATGGATGCTTTTATTATAGAAAAACAGTAATATACAGCTTGTTTTTATTTTCTACTAACATGGAATTTTAAGTCAAGTCACTGATCCCTGGGTTCAAATAGTCCATTTATCATGGGATAGTCCATCAAAATTCTAGAGCTATGTTTACTTTTCCACATAGAGACTTCAGACAGAATAATAAGAGCATTATTGGTAAATCTGAGGCACAATACATACGCAAGTGCTTACTCAGAGTTCCAACTGAGCTTATGACCTTCATTTACTCCTTTCTTCCCATAGAACATTCTTCTAGCCACACAGGCCTTCTTGTGGTCCTCAGAACTGCCAGCTTTGTCTTTACTTCAGTATCTTTGCACTTGCTATTTTCTTTGCCTTGAACTCCCTTACCCCATTTCTTCACGAACGTCACCCATGCTTGCCCAAATACCATTACTCAGAAAGTTTTTTGTTGATCACAGAAAGTAGAGCAAGTGGGAGATAAGATAAAGAACTTTTATCTCCCACTTGCTCTATCTCTGTATTGCTTTATTTCTTTTCTCCATGGTACATAATCAATGCTTTAAGTTTTACTACATTTACTTATGGCATGAATGAATAAGCCCTGAAAATGTAGTCAGAAGAGCAAGAGAGCAAAGGTAGCCTCATTCAGTAATGGAAGGGAGCAATGATGCTCTATTTTCAACTTGAACACGACTTGTCGTGATTGTGCTGGCTGCCACAGAGTTCTCACTGCCTGTGATGTGGTGTCTCTGAGACCACTGGATGAAAAGGACAATGCTTTTCATCCTTCTCATAGCTCCCTCTTTTGGCATGAAGTCATTTCAGTCACTCTGTTGTGACTGTACCAGGAGGAAGACAGAAATAGCAAGAGGAGAAATCAAAAGAGCCAGTGTCGATACTCTATTGGAAGGCGCTGAGGCAAAAATTCAGCAAAACATGAGATCATTAAATTATCCAATTGTATATACATTATTTCCCAAGGTATTCCTATTTACTTGTCAATATGTATTATTTTGAGTTGACTGTATATTCCTTACATATAAATACATCATATTTTAAAGTAATCTTCTGAAGAAAAATATGTTAGATTATATTATCTAGAAATAACTGGAGTTTCCTTTATGAAAATATTTGTTTTCTAATAATAATATGATTCATGATCTATTTATAAGATATACTACTATATGGAAATTGAAACATTAAGTATTTTTTTCCTCTCAATAATTAGAATAATATAGGTTCACATGAATAGCTTTATGGCTGATGCTTATTTCCTAGAAATCTAGTGAAATGTGTTTGATAAATAGATCTTTCACCACAGAACTAGAATGAAAAACAAAACAAAAAAATTACAATAGCTTTTCCTGTTTCATAAGATGTTCAACCTATTGTGAAATCAACGTTTTAAAGTCCTATACCAAATAGAGGAATAAAATGTGATGCAATTCATTTGCAGACTTTCTTAACAGAAATAATTTAGTATATTGCAATTTAACTAAAATAATGAGAAACTGACAATTTCTATATTTAATATTCTTCCTTTAATTTTTAATTTAAAAGCAAAAAAAAATGAAAGGCAAATATTCACTAGTAAAATATTTAAATTACCAGATGAAAGTATTAAAGTATTTATTAGTGACACATAATAAAATTTGAGACAGAAACAGAGGATGAACGCACCCACCTGAGCACTGAGAACACTCTGGCCATTTTGCCTATTGCTCGGATCTTGTTCCTGATCACCTCCTTCCGGGCTGCAGCTGTTGCACCTGTATTTTAAAACAGAGTTCAATGGTCAGGAATTGTTTTTATCTAATTGTAGTTATTTTACAAGTTTATACATACAACAGACTCCATCCACGAAGCAAAATCAGTTTTTTTCCCCTCAAGAGGATTTATCTGTAAATCAAATTTGAAAATTTAAGCTTTTGGCCACCAATAGTAGGATGTGATTTTTAAGAGGTTCCTAGAGTGTCAAAGAAAAACTTTTGAGATATCCAAGGGGGAGTTGAGTAAGAAGCTAACTGGAAAATCACAGAGCAGATAGGGGTAGGTTTCTATCCTCCTCTTCTAATTGAGTTTCCCTTTCTCTTCTGTTTATACAAAGAGAGCATGCATTGGGAGGAAGAGTTAAGTGTCTTATCACCATCTTCTATTCATTTGCAGTCTCCACGCTGGGAAAACTGCTTTAGGAAACTGCTTTTCTAAAAGTTCTCTTTTGATGTGATTAAACTAGGAAGCCTCTCAATTCCCTATCTGCCTTGCAACATCACTCATAATTATTTGATCATCTTTGTTTTAGCATCTGATACTCTTTCATCTTCTGGTTGGCTCATGAGTTCTAGAGAAAAAAGTAGAGAACTGCTGAATTGGATTTAGTGAGAGATAATGGCACCATGGTTTGCATTTTAGTACTATTCTTTTAAAGTTATGCACGGTTTTCCTGAGTAAGTTTTATCACTTATTACATTTTCCAAATTACAAAAATTTACTATATAGATTATTGTTACAAATAAATGTATTTAAAAAATGTTTTAAAATAATACTTTAATGAAGCCATTTTATTTTTCTTTATTCTCGAGGTATATTTGAAGAAGTATAAAACAAATAAAATACCTTTCAAGATTTCTTTTTTTAAGATGGGGTCTCACTCGGTTGCCCAGGCTGGAGTGCACTGGTGTGATCTCGGCTCACTGCAACCTCCGCCTCCCAGTTTCAAGTGATTCTCCTGCCTCAACCTCCCAAGTAGCGGGGACTACAGGCATGTGCCACCATGCCCAGCTAATTTTTTTTTTTTTTTTGTATTTTTAGTAGAAACAGGGTTTCACCATGTTGGTCAGGCTGGTTTCTAACTCCTGACCTCAAATGAACTGCCTGCCTTGGCCTCCCAAAGTGTTGGGCTTACAGGCATGAGCCACTGGGCCCAGCCAAGATTTTTATAATCCAAGGTAAAATGGATAAGCTATGCTTTTTATACATTATGTGGGATTTTATGGAAAGTGTTAACACAAACAGATAATCTTTCTAACTCTACTGCCTCTAATAGGTATACAATAGAATATTCTTTTCAAATAATATCAGAAATGTTCCTAATTCAAATGAATAGTTTGAGTCAGTAATTTGCTTAGGGACTGTAGTCTATAGATGACAACTGGTATGTGTTTTGGTCTTTTATTATCATTTGTGATAACAGCAAGCTTTCACAGAAGGTTTTTGAAAGAAAGATTTCTACTGTTTCCCTTAGAGGGCTTTTATGAATGCAATTTGGAATCTTGTTGATTGTAAGGGTCAAACAATCCATTTCCAGGAGAAAGAAAACTCGTACCAATAGATACAATTTTGAAATGGCTAGAGAAAAGGCCTTTGTTTTTCTTCTCCACTCCAAGAAAGTGAAAACATAATGGATCACTTTCTTTGCCTGGGTGGATAATCTTTCAGAGATGATGCTAACACAAACCCATCTCATAGGTGCATGGGTGTTCGCCAGAGGGTGTGTAAAAACCAGCAAGCTGGCTTCCTCCCACCTTCCCTCTGACCTGAGGGCCTACAATTATGTTCATTTCTTCCTCTTTTATGGCAACTACACCATGACAGGCACCTTCCAACATATCCAATGGGCAGGGCTTATTATTGCCAGCTGTTCTACCTGCAAACGGATGGAACAGGTTTCCATCCATGTGGGTGAGAGCTGTTCTCCAATCTAGCTATTCTGATAATTAAGCAAAACCATGGCTTCTCATTCACTATAAGTTCCTTGAATTATTAATTAGTCTCTCGCCCAGAACACTAGAGAGAAAAATAGGGTGTGTGCAGGACCCCTGCCTCTAAATGTATTCTGATTTTATAATAATATTTATTATCTATGATTTAGAATTAAGATTTCACAGCAAACTCTGCTCTGGAGACCATCTAAAAAATTCTCTGTGCTTGGATTTTAGATGACTAATGAACAAGAGACCATTAAAAGACTGTTTTTTTTTTTTTTTTTAAGTGTTATGGCAAATAGTCCCCTCAGGGTGGTCTCTCTATATATCTCTGTTTCAGTGACTCCATTCAGTGATGCTTTCAGTCTAACACTGTCCTATTCCCCACCTCTCAGCTGACTTGTGAACTCAGGGGTCATGATGTGTTAAGTACGGGTAAAGATTCCGGCCCTCTCCAATAAACAATATGGCCAGATCATGAAATCAATCCAATGAACACAAAGAATGGAAACTGTAGGAGAGCTCCAAAATTGGTCACTATATTTAGAAGCACAACAAGAAAAGCAGCAAGGAATGGTTGTTTAGAGATAAAATTTCATCTATTTAAGTGAAGTGAGAAGGGGAACACATAAAATCAATTAAGTAAAAAATATATATGAATAATCTCACAGAACATTTCTGATAAATGACTTATAAAAACCGTAACTAGAGCAATGAAAAGTAAGAAACTAAGTTGGAAAAGGAGGGAAATAAATTGTGTAGAGTTGTGCTTCTTAGTTTGGTTTAAGCTAATAATCAGAAAAACGCTCAAATACATACTAAATTTTAAATGTAAAATGAACATTCTCATAGTCAGAGTCAGTAACTATTCCTTATATTTTCAGATAAAATGGATGATTAGAGAGCACATAAAAGATATTCTACTCTATGTATATGTAGCTGTGCTCCCCATAAATAGTGAATCACAACACACTCTAGCACTTTTCTTTCTTTCTTTCTTTTTGGACAGTCTCGCTCTGTTGCCCAGGCTGGAGTGCAGTGGTGCAATCTCAGGGTACTGCAACCTCTGCCTCCTGGGTTCAGGCAATTCCCTGCTTCAGTCTCCCAACTCGTTGGAATTACAGGTACCCGCCACCACGCCTGGCTAATTTTTGTATTTTTAGTACAGATGGGGTTTCACCATCTTGGCCAGGCTGGTCTTGAACTCCTGACCTCACGATCCACCCATCTCAGCCTCCCAAAGTGCTGGGATTACAGGCATGAGCCACCGCACCTGGCCCCCACTCTAGCACTTTTCCTAATGAAAAAAAAACAAAAAAACAAAAACTGTCTTTAAAACATTTCTCAATAACCCAGATAACGAGTTTTATTATCCCTCTTATAAAATTGGAATATATTTACACAAAAAGTCAAATAACCTAACCATAGACAGTAAGAAGACATTATTCTCTGAACATTTTATCCTGAAAAGTACCTTCAATGTTTTCCATATAATCAAAATAAAAATTAGCTCCAACCCCACATTTATAACCTCACAAAGATTTAAAGTATAAAAATAAAATATCTGGGTTGATATGTAAGTCAATCTAAAGGAGCTGAACAACAGCAGGAGATAATTAAGTTCAGATGTAAATGTTCTGGTATACTAAACTTAGTATTACTATTCCAGGTTTTCAGTATTTTCCAGAGATCATTAAAACTCTTTTTCAAAATCTTATTCCAGTCCAAATCCTCACAGTCCACAATTAAATAGAAAGATCAAGAATAAGTACATGTTTTTCAGAATTTTACTACCTGAAACATGCAAAGATAATGTCCTATTAAACATTCTTGGTACTGTTCTGTTTAAGTTGTGAAAATGTACCACAGTAGCTCATATTAAAATTCAGTATATTAAATAATGAAGACACATACAATACATTTTACATGAAAACTGTGGAAATTTCTTTCCACTGGAAGAAAGGATAATCACTTATTTCAACTTGGAAGTCCAAAACTGAAAGGTAGCATTTCATAGGTGAGAAAAAAATAGTAATTTTAAGTGAAATTTCATTTTGTATTTTTCTATTCAAATAATATTCACTTCTTTTTTGGCCTGTCCTTTCAACTTTTTGAATTCTGATCTTCTTCTATGCCTGGGGTATCATGCTACTATTTCCAAAATCTAAAAACTAAATTTTCTTCAACATGAGGGAGGCTACTATACAGATCAAGGGGATCTTTAAAGATTTGCTTTAAATATGTGTCCTTCTTGCCTTTAACTTTGCACCTTGCTGAATTCTCATTAAGTTTTAAGATATCTCTGGCAAATGGCCTTCTAAGTGAGTATTGCAACCCCACAGGGTAGATTTCAGCCTCACAAAGGAACTGGAAAAATCTATGTTTTAAAAGGAAAGATATGTTTTTAAAATCATATTTTGCTGGTAGACTTCAAATGTTTTGAAACTTTAATCTAAATTATGAGAAAAAAAATATTTCTTCACGACTCACCTCTTCCAAATTTGTTGAAACTTAACAAAGTTCATCCCTATTCTACTTGAAAGTAAATTTTTTATCATGGATCAATATTATTAAACAGAGTTTCAATGTTTCTTTAGATTTTATTTTTTGACAAATAGAGCAGTTACTGAATTTGAATAAAAGCTCTTAATGAAATGAAGCATAAGGTGTTGAGATCATAATATCTTTTGTTATGCTATATTAAAGATAAAAACGGGTTTGGTGTCCATCCAAAATCAGCACCTTTGAAACAGAAGATATAATGCATAAGACAGAACAGACTTCAGATACCTCTAAGAAACTTGCATAATTAGTTTTTATAGCTTTTTACAGATGATGAAATTATGAATATAAAGACTGCCTTCTTTGGGAAAATACATGACCAACATTTGAAGTAATCCCCAAACTTTATCTGGTCTTTTTTTTTCCTGACCTAACTTAGCAATAACAAATCTTGAGCTGGTATATCCCAGCAAAGAGATGTTATGCAGAAGTTAATTTAGATATCTACCCAGCTTTGCCATTGGCTATGAACTGTGACAAGTGCTTCAGTACATTTTTCTATA